ATTAATTATATTTTTACATAAAAATAATATAATTATGAAAGAAACCTCACTATAAAAGCCAAAGGGTGCAGACTGGAGAAGAAAACTTGAAGAAAAGGCATGTTTCTTCAGCCATTTTTAATGCGATTTAACTTGCATATGGTTTTTGTTTAGATTGTTATGCAGTTTGTGTTGACGATTTTATCTCTGGTTTTATGGCGTTATTGTTTCAAACTTTTCTACCATGTTGGCTTCAGAAGGATTTTGGGAGGTTCTTGTTTCTTGTTTCGCTTTATTGGTCTTTTTTTTTTTTTTTTAGTACTAATCTCTCGATATCCAGAAATTATATTGGATCCTGACTAATCCGAGTCGAGTCAGGTCATATCTCATATGGGGAAAACTTTCCCAGTACCTGTTTTTCTATTCACAAGACTCGAACTTGAGATTTTACTTTATTTAAAGGTAACCGAACTCCTTTTATTTGGACCAATGAGCCGTTAGTTTTATTGATTTATTTTTTGTTTGGCTTTAATAATCATAACGGCTACATCAGAGTTGTATGGTAGAATTTTTCAAGTTTCTTATGATTTTTGTTCTGGCTGTCAATTTTCCTTTCTATGATTAACCCATCATGAAACAAGTATGTATCCAATCCTTTTGTAATTTAAATTAATTCCATCTCATTAAGTATGATGGTTCTTGCATTGTAATCAATGTTGTGAAAATCACGATTTAAATAGTAAAATCTTATGATTTAACGATTTTAGGTATACATTTTGAGTAAAATTTATGGTAAAATCGGAATTTCAGTAAAATTGAGGGGTAAAATTGTAAAATCATTATTTTACTATGAAATCGGTTAAAATCTCCATTTTAGCCTCAGGTAGGCTGCTGGGCCATTTCCTCTTGGATTAGTGGGCTTTGACCAACAGCCCTTAAATTAAACCCATTTTTTATTTTAAAAGCCCAAGTCACAACCCACAACCCACAACCCAACAAGGCAACAACACATCAATCCCATGCTTCCAGAAATCGGGAGTTCGGGACAAATTTGATCTGAGATGATGAGATCTAGTGATCTTCTTTAGCCTTCAGTCTTCAGTTTCACTTAGGGTTCACCGCAGGGGAGGGGAAGATTGGATTGGACTGCCGTTGCTCATCACTCACTACGCCACTACTGCTGCTCGTAGCCTGCCGCTGGTCAATACCTGCCGGCTGCCGCTACTCACTGCTACTGGCCCACTGCCGCTGGTCACTTCTCAGGGGTTTGCTGGAGTTGCTGTTGCTCACTTACAGGTGCTTCTCGGAGTTGCTGTTGCTGCTCATTGTGCCTTGCTGGAGTTGTTGCCGGTGCCACTTACTGACTCTTTTTCTCCTTCTCCTCAACTGAGGTATGCTTTCTCTCTTGATCTTGACTTTGAAGACTTTGAATTTGTTTGTGTGGCATTATTTAATTAATTAGGAACTTAGGATTTAGTACTCAGATTTGGGTTTTTCTAATTTTATTTGTAGCTAGTTTAAACATTTAATTAATGATTTATGTTAAATTAATTAATTTATTTGTGTTATTAGATATTTAGATTTTAATTAGTTAATTTCAAGTTTTCAACTCTAAATTTGATTTATTGTTTTTTAATTTTAGTTTTATATAATTTATTATATAGTATATATTAAATTTAGTAAACTTTTGATTTTACAGATTTAATTTTACAATTTCAATTTTATCTCACCAAAACGAGTTTAGGTAAGCACTCAAATTTGACAACCTTGATGATGATAACTAAATTTTCTTTCATAACTGTTGTTTTATTATTTCTTTCAAGTACAATATTTCATTTGCTTGACACAAACTGTATATTCTATCAAATTAAGCTTAATTA